CAATAAGACAAAATGACAGCCTACAGAATGGGAAAAGATCTTTACCAACCCCACATCTGACAGAGGGCTGATCTCCAAAATATATAAAGAACTCAAGAAACTGGACATCAAAATACCAAACAAGTCAATTAAAAAATGGGCTACAGGGCTAAACAGAGAAGTCTCAACAGAAGAATCTCAAATGGCCCAAAGACATTTAAGGAATTGCTCAACATCCTTAGTCATCAGGGAAATGCAAATCAAAATGACTCTGAGATACCATCTTATGCCTGTCAGAATGGCTAAGATAAAAATCACTGAAGACAGCTTATGTTGGAGAGGATGTGGAGCAAGGGGAACACTCCTCCACTGTTGGTGGGAGTGCAAACTTGTACAGCCACTTTGGAAACCAGTATGGGTTTCTCAGAAAATTGGGAATCTACCTTAGTCTACCTTAAGACCCAGCTATACCACTGTTGGGCATATATCCAAGGAATGCTCAATCATACCATAAGGACACATGCTCAACTATGTTCATAGCAGCATTATTCATAATAGCCTAGAAACAACCTAGATGCCCCTCAACTGAAGAATGGATAAAGAAAATGTGGTACATTTACACAATGGAGTACTACTCAGCAGTAAAAAACAATGACATCATGAAATGTGCAGTCAAATGAATGGAACTAGAAAATAGCATCCTGAGTGAGGTAACCCAGACTCAGAAGGACAAACATGATATGTACTCACTCATAAGTGGAAACTAGATGTAAAGCAAAGGATAACCAGACTACAATCCACAGCTCTAGAGAAGCTAGCTAACAAGGAGAACCCAAAGAGGGATGCATGAATCGCCCTGGGAAGGGGAAATAGATGAAATCTCCATGAGTAAACTAGGAATGAGGGGTGAACAATAGAGAGTAGGGGATGGGGGATGAGAACATAAGGGAACAGGTCAAGCTGGAACAGGGACAGAGTGGGAGAGCAAGGAAAGAGATACCATGATAGATGGAGACATCATGTAAATAGGGAGAAACCAGGTGCTAGGGAAGTTCCCAGGAATCCACAAGGATGACCCCAGCAATAGTGTAGAGGTTGCCTGAACTGGCTTACCCCAGTAATCAGATTGGTGAATACCTTAACTGTCATCATAGAGCCTTCATCCAGTAACTGATGGAAGCAGATACAGAGATCCACAGCCAAGCACCACGCAGAGCTCCAGGAATCCAGTTGAAGAGAGAGATGATGGATTATATGAGCAAGGGGCATCAAGAACATGATGGGGAAACCTACAAAGACAACCAAACCAAACTAGTGGGAACTCATGAACTTTAGATCAACAGCTATGGAGCCTCCGTAGGACTGGACTAGGCCCTCTGCATACAGGAGACAGTTGTGTAGCTTGGTCTGCCTAAGGGGCCCCCTGGCAGTAGGACCAGGATCCATTCCTGGTGCATGAGCTGGCTTTTTGGAGCCTAATACCTATGGGGGGACAACTTGCATAGCCTTGATGCAGGGGGAGGGCCTTGAACTTGCCTCAGCTGAGTGTACTAGGCTCTGCTGACTCCCCATGGGAGGCCTTACCTTGTTTGAGGAGGGAATAGGGGGTGGGTTGGGGAGGAAGGCTGGGGGATGGGAGGAGGGAAGAGAGGGGGATCTGTGGTTTGTATGTAAAATGAGTAAAAAAAAGTCTTAATTAAAAAAATAAAACTTGTAAAAATAAATAAATAAAATAAAATATGGCTGTCGGAACTAGAGAGACAGCCCATCCGTTAAGAAACCTCACTGCTCTTCCATGGGACTTGAGTTAGGTTCCCAGCACCCATGTGGCTCACAGAGTACTTGTGACTCCAGTTGCAAGGGATCCAATGCCCTCTTTCAGCTCCATGAGTACCCTCACACACGCAGCATACACTTACACATAAATAAAAATAATTATTTATCTTTGACTATACCAACTTTAGTATGCATCAGCCCAAGACTGACAAAGAAAACAGGCACTCTCTGCTGAGGAGCAGAGTATGAATATGTACATCTGCCTCAGAATTGCACTTTTCAGTACCATTAGTACCAGTAAAAGAGTGGAGACAAGTGGAATCTCTGCTGTGAAGGGACTGGCCTAGTACCTATGGCCTATGCACGCAAGAGATTCACTGCCCAACCTGAAGCAAGACCAAGCAAGCCATATGAATTTAGACTATCTGCAAGCTCCAGGAGTCCAGTTGAAGAGAGAGATGATGGATTCTATGAGCAAGGGGCATCAAGGCGTGAAGGAATGTTTGTAGTGCACTACCATTGGTGTGAAGGAGTGAAAGAAAGCTGGGGATGTAATAGACTGAGACATGGGAAGTTTTGACCTGCTCCCCATGGAAGTGACAATTGAAATTGAAGTTCAAGTGTACAATTTGCTTGTTGGTACATGGAGAAGATGTACACTGCAAATGGACAACATTGGGTGTGTTTTATGAGGCTGGGTTTGAGTTAACTTGGAGGTAAGGAAGAGATTTTTATTAAACCATGAGTATGTTCTATGTATTTTTTAAAGATCACTAAAATTGTAAATCAACACATGTGGCTGAGGGATGTAATTTTTCTCATCTTGCTGTATAAGAAAACAGAAATATCCTGTTTTTACATCAAAATCAACTAGATATTGTGGCTGTTACATTTCTCCTACTACATTTTTTTCATAAAATTCTAAAACTACATTGAGATACTATATTCAAGAAGAAAGTTCTAGAGCATATAGAGTTGGATCCAAGAATGAAGAGACGTAGTGTTTCCTCCTGGTGACTGTAGCCTCTGAGTCAAGTACATTAAAAGTTGTGGTAGGGCCAGTTAGGTGGTCAGCAGATGTCCAGTTAGGGTTTCTATTGCTATGAAGAGACACCATGGCCACAGCAACTCTTATAAAGGAAAACATTTAATTGAGGTGGGAGCTTAGATCATCATGGTGGGACATGGTGGCATGTAGGCAGACATGGTGCTAGAGACGTAGCTGAGAGTCCTACATCTGGCAACAGGAAGTGGACTCAATGTCACAATGAGTGAAGCTTGAGCAAAAGAGACCTCAAAACCTGCCCCCATACTGACACACTTCCTCCAACAAGGCCACACCTCCTAATAGTGCCACTCCCTTCAGGGGCCATTTTCTTTCAAACCACCACAGCAGGTAAAGGTTCTTCCTGCCAAGCATGATGACCCCAGTTTGATCTCTGGAACTCACATGGTGGAAGGAGAGAACTGATTTCTACAAGTTGTCCTCTGACCTTCACACATGCACACACAATACCTACAATCAATCACTTCATTGAACAGTCAACAAATAAATAAATGTAAAATTTAAAAAAAAAACACAAAAGTGGAACACTAAAGAATGGAAACATTCAACCAGACATGAATATACATGTAAAAGCCAATGACTAAACCTCTGCTCCTATTTCTCAGAATGCTAATTGTAGTGGACACATTGTAAAGCATTTCTTTAACTACTCAGTATCCAAGTTAGAATGTCCAATGGGGTGAGGGTTGCATTTGGCTTCACCTTTAGCTAGTATTTGTGTGTAAAGTTAGTTAAGTTTTATGAATTGAACATTCCAGATGGATCCCATGTCTCAGAAAAGCAAGTGGTCCCCAGCCAGACACCAGGACACCAGGATGTCAGGGTGGTGTTTGTGCCCTGTTAATGATTGTGAGTTTTCAACAAGGTGATAGGAGCTCCATTAGCAAATGGTAAAGACTTTTCAGTTATCTGTTTCTGGAAAGAATTCAGTGGAGGCAACTTGCACATTTTGAGAAGAATAGAGGAAACAACCTTTTACATTTCAAACTTTATACAATTTTTTTCAGTGTACAGGACTCTCTTAGAGTGCTGTCCGCTCAAGAATCCCTCCTGTAGAGTCAGGCATGAGGGATGTTCTGAGGAAGCCTGCTGCAGGGAGGGCTGCGATCAACACCTGCCACACACCTCTTTCTTGAGATATTGGTACCAGAGTGGAGACGCCCTTTAGTTTTGCTGCAGCCCTAGGAACTTCTATTCATTGGACAAATGTATAAATACAAATTTCCATCTCCTAAAGCCAGGGAGATCAAGGAAACCCCCGAGCAATTTGTCCAGTGCCGTGTGTGATCTCCCCCTCTTTGAAAACAGTACTCAGCTGTCTAAGATGTTGCATGCATGCCCTTTCCCGTGTCAGTCTGTGTAGTGAAAGCTTGCTCTGACCTGCTTTGCAGGTCTCCTGGGACAGTCCCTGCTCTTTAGAACTCTCTGCTCAGCTTCACTTAATTAAAATGATCACTCTTTAAATGAACCTAAGGTCAAAGTGAACCCTGTCTCCCTGTGACTGCAGGATCTAGGCTGCTGCTTCCTGTCCTGCAGAGTGGGATGACCTGAGAGCACAGGTCACCTCTGACTGGTGCTTTCCTGCTGTAAACTCCATACAGTTCTCTCGGCTACCTCCTCACTCCATTCCCACCAACACCCCTTGAAGTGAACATTCAAATGTTGTTTTACCCCTTTGACCAGTGAGGAGTTGAGCCTCAAAGAATCTACAAAGCTGCCTGCTTGACTGGTAAAAGAAGCCTATCCCCAGAATGAATGCAGGAAAGGGGTTGGTAGTGTGAGGGTAGGTCAAGTGCAGCAACTTTGTGCCCACCTTAGGAAGAATAATCGTACTGTAGATGTCTGGAAGTCTGAAGACATGGAATGTGATTGTGCATTTGTGTCCAGGTGGACGTCCCTGTGCAGACCTACAGGGATCTTTAGTGAATTTTCCATGGCAGAGCTTTAAACAACCTTTTGGCTTCATCAGAAGCTCTAAGTGCCTTGGTTCTCTTGAAGGAGGTAAAAGAGCCTTTGGGGCATGTGGTGATAATTTTACAGATGGACCGGTATTACCCAAGCTCTGGAGCATGCTCCTGCCTCATAATCTCATGGAATGCTGTTGTTTCCTGCTATCTTCAGTTACTATATATTTTTTTTACATCTGAAAATTAATTTAGGCCTTTTCTTTCATTCATAGCCCACCACTGCTGTCAAGAAGTCAGATGTAGATGGCGTTGACATGAGCAGTTCATATTCAACATCCAGCAAATTCCTTTCTGCTGAGCCCGAGCAAAGCTCCAGGACTACGAACCAGGCTAAGAGCTCCATGAAACCCTCTTCCTTGACGCGAGGCAAGAAAAAGCTCTAAGGTTCTGTCCAGTGCTGTGCAGTGCAAGAACAGACCACTCCTCCAGCACCTGAAGGGAGGGGACAGGAGGGGGACAGCATGGCAGAGAGAGCCCTGCATGGGTTACACCAGTTTAAAATTGAAGCTAGTTACCAAAGCAGCATAGCTTGCATGGGGCACTAAAGGACAGTGTGGGCATGCTTGGGGCAGGCTACAGCTCTCGCCAGCTCCAGGTGTTCCAGGGTTAAGGGACAAGTGCTCTCAGTGCAAGCCTGGGGCCATACTTGCTCAGTTCTACTCAAATTCTTATATTTAGGCACAATTATTTATAAGGGAAAACAAGAGGCCAAATCCAGTGATGGAGGTTCTAAATGATTGTGTGCACTTAGCGCTAGGAGACTTCGTTAGATGATTACTAATAAAATGGCCACAGGCATTGTGGCAGAAGCGACGCAGTCCCTCGCGTGTCCTTGTGCTTCTAGTTGCTATAGATTATTTAAGACAAGTTATTTTAAACATAGAAAAGTAGGACATTTTGTAATTGCTTGCATTGGCTTGCTGCTACACTCCCATCGTATTGATTAAATCAATAAACCCAGATGTCTTCATGCATGTCATTTTATGTTAAGGAGAGGTGACTTTAGCAAGTCCTCTGAATGCTTCCCAGACAGCTAATGCTGGCCTGTTGTCTCTGGGGAAGGACTGAGACTGGACAGGAAACACATCATGAGCTGGTGTTGGAGGTTCTCTTTCCTCCGAGGTTAATAGCCCTGCCACTGCAGGTTAAGCAGGGTAAGTGGATGCCTCTCTCAGCTTCCCAAACAAAATTTTAAAAAGCAACCGGAATTTGTTTTCTCTTTATAAAGTAATAACCTAATTTCATTCTAAACCCCACAGGATTGTCAGATCATCTCCAAAAGAACCACACCCATAAACTGACTCAGAAGCTAAAAGAGGTGCGTGCACCTCCTGTTATGAGCTACCAAGATACCACAGTGGTCAGTCAGGTCAGGTCATACTGCCATGTTACCCTTTATCTTGGTTCCTTTTCTATTGCTGTGGAAAGATACCATAACAAGGCAACTTATAGAGGAAAGTTTATTTGAAGCTTATGGATTCAGTGGGTTAGAGTCCATAATACAGAGCACAGGCATGGTGGCAGGAACAGCTGAGAGCTACATCTTGATCTACAAGTAGGAGGCGGAGAAAGAAACACTGTGAAAGGCACTAGTCTTTTGAAACATCAAATCCTGCCCCCAGCGGCACACCTTCTCCAACTAGGCCATACCTCCTAACCCTTCTCAATCAGTTCCACCGACAGGGGCCAACTATTCAAATATGTGAGCCTGCAGGGCTAGTTCTCATTCAAATCGCCACACCCTGGCATTCTGCCTGTATTTTCTTAGCGTGTTCACATTTCCCATGGGGAAACTATTATTCAAACACATCCCGTGTAAATTGGATTTTATTTAAAATTGAAGTTGATGGCTGGGGAAATGACTCATTTGGCAAGCTGCTTATCACACAAACATGGAGACCTGAGTTCAGATTCTCTATACCCACCTGTAGCTAGAGTTTTCCTGCCTGGCCCACAGTCAGGACAAATCTCTCTCACCTGCCAGTCCCACAGCTGCTCAGACCCAACCAAGTAAACACAGAGACTTATATTGGTTACAAACTGTATGGCCGTGGCAGGCTTCTTGCTAACTGTTCTTACAGCTTAAATTAATCCATTTCTACAAATCTATACCCTGCCACATGGCTCGTGGTTTACCGGCATCTTCACATCTTCATCGTGGCGGCTGGCAGTGTCTCTGACTCAGCCTTCCACTTCCCAGCTTTATTCTCCTCCTTGTCCCACCTATCCTTCCTGCCTGGCCACTGGCCAATCAGTGATTTATTTATTGACCAATCAGCAACACTTTTGCCATACAGAACATCCCACAGCACCCACCTTAAAAACAAAACAAGGCCGGGCGGTGGTGGCGCACGCCTTTAATCCCAGCACTCGGGAGGCAGAGCCAGGCGGATCTCTGTGAGTTCGAGGCCAGCCTGGGCTACCAAGTGAGTCCCAGGAAAGGTGCAAAGCTACACAGAGAAACCCTGTCTCGAAAACAAACAAACAAACAAACAAAAAACAAAACAAAAACCAGGGACACAAGTCTGTCATCCCCGTGCTGGAGAGATGAAAACAGGAGGACCCCTGGGACTTGCTGGCCAGCCAGTCTAGCCAACACGGTGAGCTCCAGGTTCACTGAGGGGCCTTGTCTCAAAAACAAGGTAGAGGGCTGGCAGGATGGCTCAGTTGGTAAAGGTGTTGCCACCCAAACTGATGACCTGATTTCAACACTCCACATGATACAAGTCTGTTCTCTGATCCCCTCACCAATGTGGCATGTATGCCCCCACACATAAGCAACACACACACACACACACACACACACACACACACACACACACACACACACTAATTTAATTAATTAAAAAAGTAAACTGTGGCCTGGCATGGTGGCACATGCCTTTAATTCCAGCACTCAGGAGGCAGAGGCAGGCAGATCTCTGTGAGTTCAAGGCCAGCCTGTTCTACAAAGTGAGTTCCAGGACAGCCAGGTCTATACAGAGAGACCCCGTCTCAAACAAACAAACAAAACCAGAAAAATAAAATAAAAACCAAACCAACAAACAAAATGAAGTTGAGAATAATTGAAAAAGACACCCGGTATCAACCTCGGGTCTATACATGCACGCATGTACAGGTGTACCAGCACACATGCACATACATACCCACTCATGACCACATGCACCACACACCAGATCACACACAGAAAAAAGAAAAGAAAAGAAAAAGGTAATTTGGGAGTTGACTCAGCTTCTTTAAGTGCTTTGCTTCGGGAGTTATATTTGCAGTCCTACAGGACCATGTACCATCTCCTAAACTTGCAGTATCCTCAAAAGGTTTGAGAGGTAGCTTTTGAGGAACAGACTTTGTCCACCCGTGGAGGACCCTGGCTATGTAGCTCAGGGAGGGGTCTTCCAGGGGAATTCTCTAGGAAGTGGACAGCAGTGCTGCACACCTTCCCCTGATGGGAAGAGAGGGACCCTGGGGGTCTCCCTTTAGGAAAGAGCAACTTGGATTCTGCCCAGTGTGTTTGTATCTTTTCCCGTCACACAGCAGACGAGGCTGGTGTCCTTCCTGTCATAACATACATTCTGTCAGAGCCCTCTAACAATAGAAGACAGCCTATCACATGCCTCCATCTGACTCACGTGAAGGATTAAGACAGAATGTAGCTCACTCTTTTGCGAGTATCTGCATTCTATTTATTTGTTTGCTTGGAAGCCATGGGGAACAGTCTCTGAGCTTAGTTTCCAGCTGGTGGACCTGTTCCGTGTCTGAGCCCCGTGGCCTTTCTGTCTGCTTTTGCCTCTGAGGCTGTGGAAAAGCAGCTCCTTCATGTCCGTGACCAGTAGGCCACCTCTCAAGATCAACGTCAACCTCTCTGGCACTTCTTGGGCCCCATGGCATGGAGAACTGAGCTTGGCTGTCACCTGGAGGGACACTCTCTGCCTGGGACAGTACAGAGCAAGTGTGATTTCCAAGAGAGCAGATGCTGACCAACACTCCCACTTGAATGGCATGTCAGGGGCCGGGACTAGCAGAGAGGAACGCAGGCCTGGAGCTGGGGAAGGTGCCACTGAGGATGGCTGCTGTCGGAGAAGAGGTCTCAGGAAGGGAACGAGAGGGGCACGAGCGAAAATGTGTAGTCTACGAACCCAGATGCCGGCACCTGGCTGTGCCAAGCCCAGAAGCAGATGTCAGAGGTAGGAACACTGCTTAAGGACAGTGTGTCCTCTGGGCCAGGTGACAGCCAATGAGCCCCCTCCACAACCTATTCACAAGCAAAACCAGAAAGGCCAAAGAGACAAAGACCAGGCAAATAGAAGCTGAGAGAAACGAGAGTTTTAAGAGCTGGCCACAGAATGGGCCTCGGTTTCTTGTTAGAAATGTTGGGAGGGGGGCAGCAGACTGAAAAAAAAAGCACTATGTGCTTATCATAGAAATACTTTGTTTAAATAATTCTATTTGACTCTAAAATGTAAGTTCCAGGTTGGACAGACGAAAGCCAGTCAGTCTTGAAAATGAAGCTTTTTAAATTCGGGCCCTGCTGTTGGAACAGACAATAAAGGCTTTGTTCAAACAGGTATTCCCAGCAGGAAGCCTGGCTTTGAAATTGGCCAGAGAAGTTGTGTCTTATAAAGGCTGCACTGGCTGGAGGCCAGGAAGCTGTGGCCTCTGGGAAATGACCCTGGGCTGATGCTGCAGCTTGAATATGAAATATCCCACAAGTGACAAGTGTCTGAGCCTTCGGTCCCTGGCTGGTGGCGCCCTTTGGTGTAGCGCCTTTAAGGAGTCGTGTAGCCTTGCTGGAGAAAGTGAGTTACTCAGGGCAGGTCTTGAAGTTTTGTAACTTGGACCCAGTCCCTGTTCACTCTCTGCTCCCTGACTGCTAATACGGGGTGTCTAGCCAGCCTCCCTTCCCTGCCGTGGGCCTTCCCTTACTCTGGTGGAATGTCTTTTCTTGAGCTGTAAGCCAGAAGCCAGAATAAACCTTCTCTCTCTTTGTTATCAGGTATTTTGTCAGAGCAAGAAGAAAAGTCACTAAGCAGTTGGATGTCCTCTACCTGCCCTTCCAAAATGTCCTCCCTGCTCTGCCATCTGCGCTGACCTCTAGGGACAGCTGTGTTGGGCTCCCCTGGCCCCTGGATTGCTTGGGGTTCTCTCAGTAGAGGTGTCAACAGGAGGTCAGAGGATGTTTGGAGATCCAGACATTGCTACCTCTTGACCCCGGCCTATGTCCCTCCTGTGGGGCTTTCTCTGCATCTCTTTTGATGGATCAGGTCGCTCCTGGTAACCTTTGACAGGCATGCTGCTGGTGGGTACCTTCAGGGCTAGGCCGGTGCCATCAACTGGGAACTGCAGTTTCCTCAGTCCCTTCATAAACCAGCTCTTCCTCCAGCATTCTTCCCATCCCAGTGTGCTTCTGCCTTCTGTGACCCAACGCAGCCCACACTCTGCCCTTGTTCACCCCTCGGTAGTCTTGACCTAGGACACTTTGTCCCTGGTTGCCAGGCTTCTACCAAATTATAGGAAAGGGAGAAGCACAAAGCCCAAATGAGTTCTTCCTGAAGACACAATGTACCTGGGTGACCACAGGGTCTGGAGGAAGGACACAGGGGTGCTGTCACTGGAGATGGAGCCAGGCCAGTGAATCTGAGGTCTAAAATGGCCTAGATGCTACATTCCATATTTATGTGCACATATACACATGTACTTACACAAATGTGTGTGCGTGCACACACACACACACACACACACACACACACACACACACACACACATACACACACACACACAGATCCAGCCCCCATGGATGTGCACTACCTACAGAGAGAC